CCCTATTTACATGGTGGTTTTATTTATTCAGTAGTGTCAGGGACATATCTTGATATTGTGCCCTTCATCAAAGGGGAGCGTGGTCTCAACCAGACCCGTGGGTTGAGCAGGTGGTCAGAGTCGCTGCGGTCTGTGTGTTTGCATCGTTCTGCCGCTATTGTTCGCGCCAGGATGTCGAGCAGTCCTTTCCCCTCACCTCATTTGGAGGCAGGACCTCTTCCTGGGAGCTGAAATTCAGGTATTCGGCCGAACACAAGCTCTGTGCAAAGCTTACAAGAAGAGTAGCTCGGGCCGTGTGACTGCTCAGGACACACGCCCTGGCTTCCGGGACACCAAGGGGAAACGTTTTCTCTTCAGGCGAAGTTGACAGCTTTGGAAAGCCGGCGAAATATCTCTTAAAATAACTTCCCAAACTGTATCATGGCAAGGGAGAAAAGTGCTGATTTGCAAAGCAAATAGTTAATCCATGCTGGTATCTCAGGACACAGACCCAGCCCGGTCGCTTCGTCCCCCTTTCAGGGCATCCCGAGACCTGGCAGCGCTGGCTCCCGCCTCCGACAGGCTCCCGCTGACACCGCTCGGAGCCGAATCGCATTTATTTCTTCGTGTCAAAAGATACTGATGTTCCAGTGTTGAGCTAAACTCGGCGTGACAGGGCCCCTCCGGGCGTCGTACGCTGAACCCCCTCTCGGGCAGGACTGTCCCCAGTGTGTCATCTGCGTGTCCTTTTCCAAGAGAGCGGAGATAAGGGATAAATAGTGACACTTTCCCCCTCCCCTCAAAGTCTGTCGTCATTTGTTACGAAATCCATCTGTTCATGCTAGACTAGCAGACCCCCAATAGTGGAGCTTATTGTGTATAAAAATTGTTAAGGAGACGTCAGCTGAACTACAGAAACATGATTTACTTCGGTTTGACAGCAAAGCCTTTGCTTATGAGGTGACTCCGAGCTTCTCAACCGTGCGGGGGAGGTGCCCGTGCGGCTCTCAGGGGGCTCTCGGGCCCCGCTGCAGCCGCACCGGGAGGTTTCCCGCAGAGACCCCGCGGAACCCGCTCAGCAAGCAGCCGGCTCCTCCGCACCCCGCCGTACTTCCCCAGCCTTACTGCCTTCCTCCCTTCTCCATTCAAATGCAAATGCCCCCTTAACCTGCAGGCTGTTACTGCTGAGTCCCGCCCCGAGTCGCGCTGCGAGCCTGAGCCCTTGCGCAGGTTCCGGAGGTGTTTTACAGGCTCGGTAGGCTCTGAGGCTTCTTCCTTCATTTTAAACAGCAATTATTCTGTACAGGAGCTCCCTTCAAATAGTTTTTTCAAGTTTGCAACAGGAGATCCGGGAATGCTGGTTAACGGTGTCCCCGTACGCAGGACTGGCTTGGACAACTTGGGTGCGGGGGTTGCACGAGTGCAGAACTCGTTCGTGTCGGAGTAGTTGCGCGGTGTAAAACTGCAGCCCGAGAGAGACCGGTGCAGTTGTCCTAAACTGCTCTCAATTCTCTTCCCAGGTCACCCTCGCTTTTTCAATCAGCTGTCCACAGGGCTGGACATCATCGGATTGGCGGGGGAGTGGCTGACATCGACTGCTAACACAAACATGTAAGCGGTGGCTTCTCCTCAGCCTCCGGGGCTGGTGCTTAGCAGGGCTGCATCGATCATGGTACACGTGTATTGTCGTAGGCGTGTGTAACTTTCTTCTTTAAATGCCGATTGCTGTGCCTTCAATAAAAGTGTCCAATTTTTCTTAATGTGGCAGCGATATAGCGAAATAGTTGTATAAACC